GCCACCAACTCTGGCACTTGAACTGTGGGTGGCTATGTGAAAATTTTTTTTTTTTTTTTTTTGCCGTAGGGCACATGAACTCGCCAGAGAGACAGAGGCAGTGAGAGGCAAAGTGAGGAATCACTTTGCAGGGGGCTAGCCATGGCACAATCCCTTCTTCTCTATTCTCCTCTTGGGATTTTGGCATCACAGATACATGCAACCTGTGTGAGTTTCAAGCTGACTTGTGTGGGACTTCTACCACAGTAGGCCACGTGGGCGATTAGTACCTTCCACCAAGCCAAATGCTGGCCCCTGTATTTTAATCTTTATTTTCTAAATGGATGATAAATACACACAGTCCAAAAATCAGAAAGGACAGAGTGAAATGACTCTGAGCCACCCTGTTCTCTTCCCTGAGCGTTTTGGGAATCCTTCAGGAATCCTTCAGGAATCCTTCAGGAATACTCTTCCACACCTTGACTGCCCAAGCACCATACAAGTGCTCCTAACACTTGGTTAAGGCTCTGCATACAATGCAAGCACTGCCCCAGTTCACGCACAGCTGCCAACTCTAACCACCACACAGTCAAGCTGCAAGAAACAGCCTGTGCTCCACTCCCATTAGTGAGACCCTCCAGCCCGCAGAAGGAACCTTCAGGAAGCTTGGCTGCGAGTGGCTGGGCTCACCCTTTCCACCTCCTTCTGCTTCACAAAGACAGCAGATAAGGTCTTCTCCAGCTCTCGTACACACTGTTGAGAAACTTGTAGGTGGTTGACAAGATCCTCAGACTCTCCTGGAATGAGAGAGGTGGAGATGGAGCCAAAAGACTTCCTCTGAAAGTCCACCACGGTGAAGGAATAAGGGGTGCCCAGAGGCCCACCTGCTTTCTGTGAGACTGCCTGCTGAGTTTGGGCCAAGGCTGTCTGTAATTCTGCCTTCTCAGAAATCAGGAGGCCTATACTTTGAATGTGGACCTAGGGAGAAAAATAAAACAAGTTCTGAAACAGAGGGAAAGAAATGTTCCAGGGGACACAAAGGGTACATGTGGCCCACTCACCTGCAGTTGTTCCCTGAGGTCCCCCTGTTCATTTACCAAGGTTTGAAGGGGATGTGGCAAGGCTGGCCTTTACATCAAAGTCCCCCCAACCCATCAGCCAGGTAACAAGTAAACATAGAAGTCATATTACTTTTTCCAGGTGATCTCAAGTTTCTTGTTGTTGTGTCTGTGGGGAATGTTAAAGGAAAGTGACTGAGGATGTCTCCTTTACTTCACCCTCAGACCAAGAAGGGCTGGGCAGGGGGCTAGAGGGTTTTTGTTTTTCATTTCCTCCATGAGAGAGAGAGAAATTGGCACTCCCAAGAGGGTCCCATCATGCCACAATCACCCCAGCCCTCTAGCCAGCCAGGATCATGGGCACATGTGTGTGCCCATGCCTGGTGTTTGGGTTGGCCTGGGACCCAGTCAGTAGCCCTCCATGTGACTCTAGCACCACCCCGTGTCATGCCCTGCTGCCTGTGCCACTGTGGCAGGGCAGAAATCAATCTTAAAGGAAGAGTTCTCAGGCCCTGTGGGGACACGAACTGACAAATTCTCCTCCAACTCTCTTCACTGGTTTTCACCCACAGCTATAGAACCCAAAGCCCAAATCTGGAATCTCTTTAAAAACCAGCAACATAAATGTCTAGAAATATAGTTTGAGAAAAGAGAACTATACTGTTAGCTTGTGATTTAGAATGGTATGTTCATTTTCAACCAGGATTTACTGAGCACATGTTATGAGCCCAGTCCTGGCCTTAATAGAGAAGTTCCCCTCTCCCTGACACATTCTAGTGAGCTTTTTCAGTCTCTGATTCTGAAGAGCTGAGAGCAACTTTTGACCTCCCAGTAGACTCAAGCCCATGGAGGAGGATTGGCTTGTCTGAAATCAAAGAGAGAGCAGGTCAGGAACTATGCTTCCACTAGAGACAGTGACCTCAGGGCAGGGTGGCGACTCAGTCAGGATTGACTTCAGAAGACAGCAAAGAAAGAGAGCAGCAATAGAAACAACCATGCTGCATGCTATGTGAACTGGGGTCTCTTCAGATAAGGCCTTGCACCCCAGAACACTGCATTTTCCTTTGGCACTGGGGTCTCCAGGACCTTACTTCAGAGCCCCAAGTGGACAGAAGCCCAGGATTGGCAGTGTGGACTCAGGGGACCCCATTGGGTTCTTAGCAATTCCTCTATCATGTCTCTGAGTTGGTTGGTTGGTTGGTTGATAGCTGGAGCCCAGGGCTACTTCTAGCAAAAGAAAAAGAAAAAATAAACCTCTCCCTCGCCAAAAAAAAAGAGAAAAATAAATAAAGAAGAAGAAGAAGAAGAAGAAGAAGAAGAAGAAGCGGCAGCAGCAGCAGCAGCTCTGCCTTGGTTTCTATCATACATTTCTTTCCCTCTTAACCCTGTGGAACCTGATTTCTGGCGTACCTCACACCCAAGACAATTGATCTGCTGAGATAGTTGTTGCAGATTCTCGGGTGATGACAAAATCCTAGGGATAGAGACACAGAGATCAGAGGTGTGGGCAGCTTGATGGAAACAAGGACCACGGCCTTCCCTGACTCCTGTAGGCAAGCACTGTACCCTCCTCCAGGAGACACTCACTGGGTCTTATCCACGAGATCTGGGATGACTCCAGAATCATGGTTCTGCTGGCAAGAGACACAAGAGGTGAACATTCCACTTCTAGTAAGGATTACCCTGCACTTGGGTGAGCCCAGCTCATCCAAACAGCATTTTATCATCTCCTCAAACCTCAAGCAAAGGTTGGCCTACCCCAACCCTGGTTTTGGGAAAAGGACTGGGTGCAAGGAACCAAACTACCTGAAGAGAGGCAAGGAGAGGCCACAGTAGGTCTCCTAGAGAAGGAGGATGAGGCAAGCATGCAGAGGGGCAGTGGGCAAAGAAGCAAGAGGCACAAACCAAGGAAAGGGTTACCTGCTACTAAGCAAGCATCACAGAGGCTAGGAGCTGAGGATGAGCCAATGTATCTTTGCATGTTTACTGTGACCATGGCCTGGAGCCTAGTAGCTGCAATATGCCCACTGGAACCTTGTATTGCTTTGATGTCTACAACTGAATTTAACAGGTCAGAGTGGGGACTCAGCAGCTGGCCAGGTGTGATTTAGAGGAGATTGGAGGGTAGGCACGCACTCCTAGCTGGGTCTCTAACATCCTCTTGGTCCATCTTGGCACCTTGAGTTCCACTGAGCTCTAGAAATAGACAGGAATTTCGGGTAGGAGAAATTCTTTTTCTAAGGACTGTTACGTGTAATGTGATTTTCTTTTACTGTGAGAAAGTACCTGTGCTCGCCAGAGAGATAGAGAAAGCACTGACCAATGGGGTGTAGTCACACTGCAATCACTTTCCCTTCATTTCGCCAACCTGTTGAGAATCTGGACATGCACGCACTCATGCTCATCATGCTTTTTCAAGCCACGGCCAAGATTCAAACCACCATCAGCCATAGTGTGATTCCAGACACCCTCTAACCTAGTCCCAATTCCCTGTCCCTGTCCATCTCCCCTTGTCATGCCCACAGAACCTGGCCCTATTTCAGCCCTGCTCCTCTGGTTGGCAGATGTCCCTTGGCAAATAGGATGAAATGCCAATATCACATCTGGAGGTCCCCTGTAGCCTGGGTAACCAATACTCTGACCCTGCCCCCACTCCCCACATCCCTTAAAGGTGCTTTGTGACACAATAATGCTGGCTATCACCTCATTGCCCCCTCAGCCTCTCCCACTCTCAATGGACGTAGGAAAGGAAATATGCAGGGAAATGGAGAAACAAGACACTTGGGGACACGGATAAGGTTTTTGTGTGTTGATACGGATGTGTGTAACAGTCTTAACTTGGCTGAATTGAGGTGTATATCATACTGGATAATCTCTTCACGATCTAAATGATGTATGGTGATTTAATGTATGAATAATAATTTTTAAAATTAATAAAAAATAATGAATAAAGTTATCCACCTTGTGTCTTCACATCAGCCTCCTCCTGCCTTGAATCCATCCAGAACCAGCCTGGTTGAACATTTCAATACTGTTACATCTCCCTCATGTCTCTCAGAGAACTGCTTCCCTTAGTGTGCACCCTACCTTGTTCATCTGTTTTCTCTGTTTAGCAAGGTGCCTTGGCTACCAGGGACCCAGGGCATATAGCTGAGTGTCTATTTGATTTCTAAGAGAGATCAGGGGCACAATGTCCTGGTCACTTCTCTGTTGACGGTAACCTTACATCCTTTACAGTTAAACAAACTGTCTCAATACAGGTAAACAAACTACCTCAATTTTTGCAACTACAATGCCAATTTGCTCTCTCTTCAACTTATATGCTGTAACCTCAATTTAATCAGTTTGAAAAATCATAAACTTCTATGTGGTCTAGTAGTCTTTTGGGGGATAAATATCCAGAGGTTAAGACATAAAGGATTTTCCTTTCTGTTTCATCTCTCCTAGGCCTGATGGCATTCACTGGATATTCAAAAGCCCAAACCCCACACATCTGCTCTGAAAGTTATTCCCAAACTAACTTTAACCTTCAAGGTGTGTCTCCCCTTCTTCAAAATGATAAAAGATATAGGGGAAGAAATAAATCAATGAACCAAGCAGGTGAAGAAGCAAACAGAACTCAGGGTAATGGCAGCAACATAAAATAAGCCAGAGCCAGAACAGCCCCCAAACCAGAGACCAGCAGTTGGCGTAAAGGCTATGTCACTGGACTCAAAAGTAGTTGACTGTGGTTTGAGTCCTGGACCCAGTGGCTGAAACTCACACCAGGCGTGTGTGCATGTGTGCCCAAGATCCCGAGAGGGGAATGGAGGAGAAGGGATT